TGTGTTTGTTTCAAGCATTATGGTCACTTCCTGCCCTGACGGCCTTGGTGAAAAGGCTGGCATTGTGTTTGTTTCAAGCATTATGGTCACTTCCTGCCCTGACGGTCTTGGTGATCTCAACAGAACCACTTCGGTTGGATTGCCCTCAACTACCGGAACCACGTTTGGAACCACTTGGAACTCTTCCCATTTTTTGACAAACGCATATCTTATCCATCCACGACCAAGACTTCATTCCTTTTCCGGACTCTTCATCGTCCTGACAATGCAGGGCTACGAGCAAGCAGTTCATCATCAACAATAAAGGAAATGTGATGGGACACCCACCCAGGTTGCAGGACTGCGTCGCCACTCCTCGCGGTCCCACTGCCTTTGCCGGTCACAGCACACAGTTTGTGAAGCCTCCCGTGGCGTGGCCTCTTGCACACATCCACTTGCCGCATTTATAATTCAATTATAGCAGGTACATGGCATATGTGAACCTGCGCGGACACATCCAGTCAGGTCCCATTCAGGCCAAGTCATTTCCCCTCGCAAGAAGCGGTCCCGTCCGCCCTTGGTTTTCCCGCGTCCCGTCCGCCCTCGGTTTTCCTGCGGTGTGTGCGGGCCTGCTACCCATCTCCCCCGCACTCTTCTATGCCATCTGGCACCATCAGTGGACTTCTCTTTCCTATTTTATCTGGATTGGTACAGTATAGTCTGGGCTATTCCCAGTTCGCTCTCCGCGGGTGCTCCCGCCCGACCTGAGGGACTTGTCTTCTGGCAGTTATTGGTGGACCTCCCACGTTGGATATCTCCCTCCCAAGAGTCGGGGCCCGGGTCCCACTGTAGCCGTAGATTGTGGAGATCGACGGCGACAAATAGAAAATGTTCTGAAGTTAGATCCCGCCCTCGCTAAGGGGCGATATCGGCTGGAGCTGTAGCCCTCGCTACCGGTAGGTGAGGGCTCGAAGTCCACGAGAGGCCGTCTTCCCCCGAACACAGCGCACCCTGATAATGAATGCATACAAGAGATCTTTCCTGTCCGGTGCAGCCAAAATGAGGGTGTATTGTGCTGGGGGAAAGACAGTACTGATACCACGCTAGGGCGTGGGGGCGCAGCCAGGATGGCGGCGGACCGGCGATCGCACGGAACTGTCTGGAGAAACACGCAGGGAAAATCACGGGCATAGCAGGGACCCGGGGAGGAGGGGGTAAATCATTCGTAAAGGAATTCAGGGTCTGTGGTGTCAGCCTGCAGTCCATTTGCCGCTTTTCGTTGGGTCGATGGTCTTCCTTCC